TATATATGTTTCTTCGTGTGTGTGTGTGTGTGTGTGTGTGTGTGTGTGTGTGTGTGTGTGTTTGTGTGTGTGTGTTTGCATGCATATCCACATGATTGAGTGTTTCCATGATTCTTTAGTTAATTTAAAAATATTCTGAATCATACTTTTTTAACCATATTTTGAATACACAGAGCACACAATTTAACCATATTATGCCTGTGCATTTTTAAACTATTGAAAATAAAAACAACAGTCGTTCATGGAGTACAGAACTTATACTTTATTTATATATTTCATTCATTTTTAGTGTGCCTTGTCTGAGAGATTTAAATACTAAGATATACTGTGTATTTACATTTCGATAAATGTATCAATCTTTAAATTCTCAATTTACTCTATTTTTTTCAAGTTTTTGAAACAATAAATCTGTAGCATGGGCTGTTCTGGACCTCATTTCATAGACCAATAGTTTTCAAGCTTCCTAATGTTGTAACCCTTTAATAAAGTTCAACACATTGTAGTGACACTCAACCATAAAAAACTTTTGTTGCTATTTCATAACTGTAATTTTTCTACTGATATGAACCAAAATATAAATATCTAACAAGCAGGGAAGGTTCCTGCTCCCCCACCTGCTGCATCAGACAGGCTTGCAGGTCACTGAGCTGCTGGTGAAGGCTACTGCAAAATGTGTCTAGGAGGGTTGTCTCCCAAGCAGCATGTTGCCTGAGGCAGACAGGGCTCTCCAGACTTCTGCTCTGACCACCTCCCAGGCACAGGGGCTGTGGTTCTTCTCTCTCAGGTAGACAGTGATCCTGTGGAAGTATTTCCTCACAGCCACCAGGGAGTCTTCCTGGCTCATGGGAGGTTCCTGCTCCCCCACCTGCTGCATCAGACAGGCTTGCAGGTCACTGAGATGCTGGTGGAGGCCAGTGCAGAATGTGTCTAGAAGGGTTGTCTCCCAAGCAGCAGATGAGTCCTTTGAGCTGAAGAGGATGAGGACCTGCTGGGTCAGCTCCTGCAGGACAGGGATGGCTTGAGCCTTCTGGATGTGCTGGACATCCACCTTCTCCAGAAGGAATGCAAAGTCTCTTCAAGTAAAAGAGCAGGTTTCCCAGGGATATCAACCAAATATGACATAACAAATTACAATAGGACTACAAACAAATCATATGAAACCTGGACCAGGCCCCCCAGTAGTAGGAAAAGGGTCCCAATGGCAGGTAAAAAAGTCAGATACCACCACTCTGTTAGGAGTCCCACACACACACACACACACACACAAAAAAAAAAAAAAAAAAAAAAAAAAAAAAAAAAAAAAAAAAAAAAAAAAAAAACAAGGTATACAACCATAGAATATATATAGAGGACATAGTACTGACCCTTATTGTCACTTCAGTGTCTGTGAGCCCCTATGAATCCTGCTAAGGTGAATTTATGGGCTGAGTTCTAGTAGTGTCCTTGACCCCTATGACTCCTACAATCCTTCCTCCCTATGCTGATATTTTGTTTGTGCTCTAACAAATAAAGCTTGTCTAGACATCAGAGTGTGTAGCTAGCCACTAGTTAACCATAAAGGCCAGGCAATGGTGGCGTACACCTTTAATCCCAACACCTGGGAGGAGGAAACAGGAAATGATATGGCTGTGCAGAGAGAGGAAGTGATAATCCGGGGAGGAGACAGGAGCTTGGTCCTTTTCATCTGAGAAGTTGGTGAGGTAAGACGTGGCTGTGGCTTGTTCCTTTGCTGCTCTGATTTTTCAACATTTACCCTGATACCTAGCTCCAGATTTTTATTTATTAAGATCAATTAGAACTCATGCTACATTTGCTGCCCAACTTTAAGGCATGAATTCACAAAACAGCCACTTGCCTTGTGGCTTTGCAGCCATCGGCATAGGCAAGAGCTGCATGTGGAGCTCCCACTGGAATCACTGCTCCACTGGTTAGGTTCTTCTCTCTTTTTTTCTGTAAGCTTCTAAGAGAGTATGGATTTTTTTTGTCGCAGCATCTCTGCAACAAACTCCACAGGACCCAAACTTCAGAGGGACCTGGGCTCCAAGCACCACAGGACTTATGCACCATAGACTGTCTGGTTCCGCATTCAGGCAGCTCCCGCCCCATGTGCTTCTTCCACACAATCCCATGCGCATTTTTCAGACCACTGGATCCCTGTCCCTGTGGGTTGCAGGCGTCCCCTAGACCACCTCTCCTCAAGCTTCCACATGCTAGAAACTGCAGCTGTCCTCAGCCGTACTGCCCATCACCTTTGATATCCAATCGGATGTGCTACACAGCTTTATGCTCCACCGTCATCATTGGTAGATTGATGAGACAATTAGGAATTCTTAAACAGGGGAATTAATTAGAAGAGAGAGAGAGTTATGTTATCTCAGGTAAAACAGAGTGAGATGGGTCAAATGTATAGGGCCAGAAGGACAGAGAGGAAAACTAAAGGCATATGTGGCTATTATAGCAATGAATATATGGGGGCACGATTTGTTACAGCAATGGAATGCTCAGGTTAGCATTTGCCCAATCTTAGAAACAAATCATAAATTAATGTATGTTTCTGGGGAAAATATTAGAAGGTATTGTAAAGAACGGTCACCAGCCATTCAGGTTGTAGAAGAACAAGGCACAACAGCTGCTGATCTTTCAAAGGCGCCAATACCTTTAAAATAGTTGATTGGCAAACTGGTAAGGGTTGTTCAATGGCCTTCAACAACAGAGAAACTGCAGGACATAGAACAGCTGTTACAGGAACAGCTAAATGCTCAGAATATAGAAGAATCAGCCAACCCTTGACATTCTCCTGCATTTGTTATTTAAAAGAAACCTGGAAATGGAGAATGGTAACAGATCTAAGAGCTGTTAATAAGATGATACAGCCAATTGGCTCTCCACAGTTTAGAATGTCTTTGCTTTGTCTATTAACTAAAGGATGACCTCTCATAATTATTGATTTAAAAGATTATTTCTTCTCTATACCTTTACAAGAAAAAGAGAAAAAATTGCGTTTGTGGGGCCTTCTTATAATAAGTGTTAACCTCTTAAGAGATATAAATAGAAAATTCTCCCACAGGGAATGTTAAATTTCCCTACCTTGTGCCAATATTTTGTACAGAATCCTATAGAAATGATACATAAGCAATTTTCTCAATCTATAGTTTGCCATTATATGGATGACATTTTAATAGCTGGTTCAAATGCTGATACTTTAGAAAGAAGGTATGAAGAAATAAATAAAATTTTGCCTTGTTGGGGATTACAAATTGCTCCTAAAAATACAAAGAGAAGACTCTATTAATTATTTAGGATATAAAATAGGTCTACAAAAATTAGACCCTAAAAGGTGCAAATTAGAAGAGATTGATTTTGAAGAGAGATATAAAAGGAAAAAGCAAGGGGGCCTCATGTGGATATTTATTCATATTGAGGAGAGAACAACCCTTTCAGCCAGAGGCAGAAGTAAGAGCTAGTGGCTGTCTACTTTGCTTTTCTGATCTTCAACTTGAAGCTTGAACCCCAATATCAGTCTCTGGGTCTTTTATTTTTCATGCTATAATTGTCACCCAATGTTCACTTTAAGCCCAAGCCTGAGCTGTAGGCAGGACTCCTACCTGAGTCCCTCCTGCCTGAATTCTTGTCCAACCAGCTAGGTTTTCTTTTTTTTTTCTTCACCTCAAACCTTGAAGCAAGTTTGAGATTTTTCAGTTATAGCTTTTCTAAACAGCCTTAAGCTGCCGTCCAAACTTGAGAGACATTCAGACTTTTCCTAGAGCCTCTCCCCTCAGACTGACACTCTAAGCTCAAAGACACAAGCTAGTTCTTGAATCAGAAGAGCTACGCCTCACAGTTCACTGACATTGTCAGCAAATTTGGTAAATCAACTGGAAATTCTTAAAGGGAGGAATTAGTTTTAAAAAAGAGAGTTTTTCCCCACATTAAAAATGGAAACATTATTAAAATGGAGAAAATTAGGTCTGCATATGATTACATAATGGATGGATTAAAAAACGGAAAAAGTTGGGGCTGGATCGTTGACTCAGCAATTAAGAGCACTAGATCTTCCAGAGGTCCTGAGTTCAATTCCCAGCAACCACATGGTTGCTCATAGCCACCTATAAGAGGATCTGGTGCCCTCTTCTAGCATGTAGGTATACATGCAGAGCAATCATACATAAAAATATATAAATAAAAATGAAGAAAGTAAATGAAAAAAAGGATAATCAACTTAACCGGGATTGACAGACTGTTAGTTATCAATTTGATAATCTTTGTTGTTGTTTTGATAATTCTTGGTTTATCTCTAAAAAAGTTGGTTGATATGAATGCTGAGATGAAGGCCTTAGAAAAACTTACTAAGTAGATTATAGAGATATTCAAACACAGACAGAGGAATTACATGGAAAAGCAAATTCAGCATTGCATTTTAAGGTTAAAAATGAACACTCTAAGGTCTTAACAGAATTAACTTTAATATATACAATAACCTTATAGGAAGTGCCAAATGAAGGAGATTCTATAAGAGCTACTTGGAAGCCTGTGACAATGTTAGATTTAGAGAAATTCAAGGAAGCTGTAGTCCCATAAGGCATGCATTCACCATTTGTGAAGCAGATGATAAATACGTGCCCTGTTTGTAATAAGATTATCTCTGTAGATTGGTTAGATTTGATTAAAGCTGTCCTAGAGGCTGGACCACAATTACAATGGATTTTCTGGTTCAGAGAAGAGGCTAAGGATATTGAACAAAAGGCTAAAGTTAGAGGTATCAATATCTCCCAAAATCAAATTTTTGGAGAAGGAGATTATGCTACTTTAGTGGGAAAATGTCAATATGATCATCATCTCATGGGTTTATGCCATGTAGCATCTTTGAATGCTTGGGACAGAATTGGAGAAGCAGGAAAGAAAACTGAATTGTTTACAAAAAGTCATACAGGGCCCAAAGGAATTATTCACAGACTTCTTACAAAGAATGTCATCAGCAGTCAATAGAAAGATATCAGACTCAGATGCTAGAAAAATAATAACTAAAACTATGATGTTTGAAAATGCCAATGCCCAATACAAAAAGATAATTAAGCCTTAAACAGCAATAAGCACCCTTAGAGGACTAGATCCAAGATACAATTAATATTGAAGCTCATGGCTATGATGATGATACATGGATAGAAGTGATTTCAAAAGGTTTAAAGAAAATTCAAAATGTCAAATGTTTTAATTGTGGCAGACAAGGTCACCTGAAAAGGTATTGTAAATAGGGCATTTCTAGAAGCAATTCTTTTTATAAATATAAACCAAACAAAATATCACTCCCTTCTGGATTATACAAAAGGTATGGGAAAGCCAGGCATTGGACAAAGAAACACAAGTCAACAAGAGATTAACAAGGTAATACTTTGCCTTCAGGACATGTCTTGAGAGAGCCATTCAAAAGCCCCTATACCAAAACTGGTTCATTTGTTTCCTGCCACCATTTTGAAACTCCTTCCTAGAACAATTAAATAATGCTTATTGAAAGAAAACAAATTGTTCTGGATGATAGAAGAGCTTTAGAAACTAAAACAAAAAATTCAGGGGAAGCTATAGATGAAATTTGATAAGGATTAGAATAGGAACCTCCCAATGTTAAGGTTGGGGAAGGATTTTGTTTGGTCTTTTCAGGAAAATAAAAACATCCATCTGAAGAATTTCAGACCTTTGGACAAATAAGCATCCAACGAAGAATGGAGAACAACACAGAAAAAATATTAAGAAAAGAAATAATCAAACCTATTGTGATCTCTGAAGTCTCCAAAATAAAGATTGAATCCAAGTGGGGCAGAGGTCATGCATACCTTTAATACCACCACTTGGGAGCCAGACACAGGCAAATCTCAGTGATTTTGAGGCCAGCCTTGTCTACAAAGTCTACAAAGTGAGTTTCAGGACAGCCAGGACTGTTAACACAGAGAAACCATGTCTTGAAAAACAACAACCACAAAGAAGATGGAATCCAGAGATGACAATTTCACCAGGACTATGACAATACCATTAAGCTGAATAACTCCAACTCGACTTTGGACTACAAACTGCTCAGAACGATTTCGAGAAAACAAACTAAGATGATCCAATCTCACAGACACTACTCAGAATGATTTCAAGGAGGTCAGCTATTATGCAGCCTCACAGACACTACCCAGAACAATTTCAAGGTGGACAGCTAAAATGATCCAGCCTCACAAATTACTCTAGCCAGGACTTGAAACAAGCCCTGCACTTTCCCATATGCAGAGATGGAACAACAAATGATACAGCTAGACAATTAACCCCAAATTTTCAAGATCTCCTAAAGATGCCATTGCCCCAAGACAGTAGAAAGTAACTTTAAGAACATGACACCCATATTCCCAAGAGGTGGGGTGGGTGGCTTTGGGTCATTCGATGGGTTATGGATATTTGAAATTGTTTAGGGGAATTGGTTACAAAATGTTGTTGGTTATGGTCAGGAAGAAAGAGGATTAGATTCAAGATTTTTGTTTTGAAAAAAAAGATACAGATACAATAGGATAAAAGGGTACATTATTGAATCTACTCTTGAAAATGAAAAAAGGTGGATGGTTTCAAAAAACAACTACTAGTCTTAAATATTTTACATTGGATTGGACTTCTGTACATCTAATACAAATATTGTATGTTGATACAAATTTGAGAATAATTTGTTAATACATATTGTAATAGTCTAATGTTGTTCAAAGAATTGTACCAAACAGATCATTTAACAATGTGGTGCAGATTTCTAATACTTGAAAGTTATTATTACCAACTATATAAAATAATAAAGAAATGTAGGTTAGTAATTAGTCACCTATTAAAATCGAACTTGTTCCCAGCACTTGGGAGGCACAGGCAGGTGGATCTCTGGGAGTTTTTGTAAGAGTTGGTTGAAATCTAGGATCTAAAGCTGATTTGCAAACAGACATTTCTTCAAGGATTTCACATGTATATCATAGGTACATCTCATATATAGGTTAAACATTCTTAATTTGGAAATTGAAATTATGAGCTACTCTAAAATTGGAAACTTCTGTGAGAGTGACATTTTCACTTTCTGACTGTTATAAGTAGGTAGACCA